ATCTGTGAAGAGTACAGGGCGCCAGTAGCAAATTTGCCAATCTTGGTGTTCTCTGGCAAATGCCAAACATCCTGCACGGTCTTGGACTGTAAGCACAACCCCCACCTGTGGACGTCAGGCCCTCATACCACCCTCATGGAGTCTGTTTCTGACCGTTTGAGCAGACACATGCACATTTGTGGCCTGCTGGAGGTCATTTTGCAGGGTTCTGGCTGTGCTCCTCCTGTTCCTCATTGCACCAAGGCAGGGGTAGTGGTCTGGGTTGTTGCCCTCCTACGGCCTCCTCCATGTCTCCTGAGGTACTGGCCTGTCTCCTCGTAGCGCCTCCATGCTCTGGACACTACACTGACAGACACAACAAACCTTGCCACAGCTCGAATTGATGTGCCATCCTGGATGAGCTGCACTACTTGAGCCACTTGTGTGGGTTGTAGACTCCGTCTCATGCTACCACTAGAGTGAATGCACCGCCAGCATGACCAAAACACGAGCCAGGAAGCATGAAAACTGAGAAGTGGTCTGTGGTCACCTTCAGAACCACTCCTTTATTGGGGGTCTCTTGCTAATTGCCTATAATTTCCACCTGTTGTCTATCCCATTTGCACAACAGCATGTGAAATTGATTGTCACTCAGTGTTGCTTCCTAAGTGGACAGTTTGATTTCACAGAAGTGTGATTGACTTGGAGTTACATTGTGTTGTTTAAGTGTTCCCTTTATTTTTTTGAGCAGTATATTAGTATATTAGTTTTAAAATACACTTTTAATAATGATGTATGTATGTGTATATAAAAGTACTTAGATCATATATATGTGTGTGTATATATATATATATATATATATATATATATATACATATACACATATATATGATCTAGGTACTTTTTATTTAATTCATAAACTGTTTTAAAACTTTATTTTAACTTTAAAAACTTTTTTTTTGCAGGCTCTAGGGAGACAGCCTGGGAGCTCAGGCAGTCCCACTGTAGGCACTGCATTAGCCGTTTATTCCGGCCATATGATTACGAGGACCCCGCGATCACATGGTCCGGGATCTGACAGAGGTGGGCTGCCTGAGCTCCCAGGCAGACACCAGGATCACTACCGCCGGCATGGTATCGTCAGGGACCCAGTAAGTCCCCTGGACGGCGGGGACATTCTATATCACCATTGGGCATTTAGAGCCACCCCAAAAAGGACAACATAGAACTCCTGCCATCCTTAAAGGACCACTATAGGCACCCAGACCACTTCAGCTTAAAGGACCACTATAGTGCCAGGAAAACATACTCGTTTTCCTGGCACTATAGTGCCCTGAGGGTGCCCCTACCCTCAGGGTCCCCCTCCCGCCTGGCTCTGGAAGGAGGAAAGGGGTAAAAACTTACCTTTTTCCAGCACTGGGCGGAGAGCTCTCCTCCTCCGATCCTCCTTCTCTCCTCCCCGTCGGCTGAATGCGCACGCGCGGCAAGAGCTGCGAGCGCATTCAGCTGGTCACATAGGAAAGCATTCATAATGCTTTCCTATGGACGCTTGCGTGCTTTCACTGTGAAAATCACAGTGAGAAGCATGCAAGCGCCTCTAGTGGCTGTCAATGAGACAGCCACTAGAGGATTAGGGGGAGGGCTTAACCCATTCATAAACATAGCAGTTTCTCTGAAACTGCTATGTTTATGAAAAAATGGGTTAACCCTAGCTGTACCTGGCACCCAGACCACTTCATTAAGCTGAAGTGGTCTGGGTGCCTAGAGTGGTCCTTTAATGAAGCTTTCTGGGTGCCAGGTCCAGCTAGGGTTAACCCTTTTTTCTATAAATATAGCAGTTTCAGAGAAACTGCTATGTTTATAATAGGGTTAATCCAGCCTCTAGTGGCTGTCTCATTGATAGCTGCTAGAGGCGTTTCCGCGCTTCTCACTGTGATTTTCACAGTGAGAAGACACCAGTGTCCATAGGAAAGCATTGTGAATGCTTTCCTATGGACTGGCTGAATGCACATGCGGCTCCTGACGCGCATTTAGCCGAGGAGGAGGAGAGGAGGAGGAGGAGAGTCCCCTGCCCGGCGCTGGAGAAAGAGGTAAGTTTAACCCCTTCCACCCCCTAGAGCCCGGCAGGAGGGGGACCCTGAGGGAGGGGGCAAATGCAGGGCACTATAGTGCCAGGAAAACGAGTATGTTTTCCTGGCACTATAGTGGTCCTTTAGGGGGTTAATAAAGACCTCCATAAAAAAGCATTACATTTTACAAACAATTCTTAAAAGGTAGTACATTTACCGAGAATGAAATTGAAGAAAACATTTTAAAGAAGTAACATACATCTAACATGGTAGACAGACAAATAATGATAAATCTTTTTTTTCCAAGACAAAAACAAGTATAATCTGCATCTGTGTTATGAGCTTGCATTTGGAACTGGCCAGTAAAAATAAAAACAAAAACAATTATTACATAGCCCCAGGATATAATTTCTAGACCTATTCTTGGCAGGTGCCAAGGAGTAAGACCTGCCAAGAATGGGATACGTTGACGTTGTGGCAGGCTTATGCTTTGCATGATTATATGCTGTCACTAAACCAACATTATTTTTTGCCTAGGTGAGGTGTTTTTTGTTTTTTTTAAACTATTAGATTCTGTGAACTTTGAAATCGCTGTTTAGTGAAAGAGTGAGTGCACTGGATCTTGTATGTTGTATGAATTGGCCCCAGCAGCACCCTTAAAAGTGTGCATATTCAGGTGAGTGCAGCCACTTGATTTTATATATATATATATATATATTTCAATAAAGGTAGTTATTTTAACCTGAAATCAGCCCTGTGAGTGCTTGCTTCATTTGTTTGTTTGTGTATATATACATGTATATAGTTGTGCTCAAAAGTTTGCAAGCCGTTGGAGAATTGGTAATATATGTATCAGTTTTGCAGGTGGTATAGTTGCCCATTTGTCTTGGCAAAAGGCCTCCAGGTCATGCAAAGTATTTGGTCGTCTTGCATGAACCACATGTTTGAGATCTCCCCAGAATGGCTCAATGATGTTAAGGTTATGAGACTGTGATGGCCAGTTCAACTTTAATCACTGGAGAGTTAAATTGGCCTTTTGCTTAGGGTCATTGTCATGCTGGAAAGTTCAAGAGCATCCCATGCTTCGTGCTTTATGCTTCGAGCGTTGTACAGAAGAATGCAAATTGCCAGTATTTTCTGATACGTGCTGCATGGTGGTATTCTTTTCACTGTAGGCCTTGTTCATCCCTCTCCAAACATAGCACTTATGGTTGTGACCATAAAGCTCTATTTTGGTCTTGTCACTCCAAATTACACTATGCCATAAGCTGTGAAGCGTGTCAAGGTGTTGTCGGGCATATTGTAAATGAGCGTTTTTGAGGCATTGGCACTGTAACAGATCACCTGGCACCCACGACTGGGTAACTCTGTTAACGGATGCTTCCTAGCCGACGCCAAGGGCTATAAGCACCGCACCGGACACCAGAACCACCACAGACTCCACAACCACCGTAGCTTAACTGGAATGTCATCGTCTTCCTTCCACCCTGGATCAACCTCTGACATCCAGGACCGTGTGGGAGAGACCTTTCCTCCAGGAGAGCGTAACAGGAACAGCTCTTAAGAGTTAAGTGATTAGAACCCAGGAGAGTATACAAAGTATAGCAATCCCCAGTGTGATTATAGCAGTTCCCCTCCAATCACGAGACAAGACTACGTGTTGAGGGTCAAACACGAGTAGAATGTTTAATGGCACAGATTGGATTTTTATACAGTTTTTCAGGCCAGAGGCACACCCACTGGACCTGATGGAGGACAGGGACAGGGACACAAGGGGCGTAAACCAATCAAAACAGTAATTAACAGTAGACCCCCCTCTGATGAGCTTATGAGCGAAACGCGCATCAGGGCAACCAAAGACATTGGCAACTAGAGCTAATAGGAGCTTATAAAATTGACCACACATTTAGGGCAATAAGAATAATTGGGAACTAGCTACAATAGTAATGTATCGAATTGACTACTAATCTATTTAGATGTAGCAACAGGATTCATTTGTACACTTACAACAAATTTTTCGTCTTAATTTCCGAATTGGCCGTGTGTATATATATTTCCTGTCTAGCACTCTTACCCATAGGCGTGCACAGCCTATTGCATTAGGGTGTGCACCCTAAAGCATAAACACACGCCGCATGTCTGTGTGTGTATATATATATATATATTTGTGTTAGGTGCTTAAGATAGTACAGTGTGAAATACCATGAATAAGCGTAGGATGATAAAAGGAGCAAGTCGGTTGTGGTGTGCCGAAACCGACGATGAGGTAGGCCTGAGAAAGAAGAGGGCCCACCCAGGAAAAGAAATAGAAAGGAAAATAAATGTTAAAAGTGGTGTGGTGGGAGGGTCATTCAACGCTGACCTCGAACGGTAAGGAGCCAGGCAAGGGGAGTGCCTTAAGTAGGCTAGGGGTAGAAAACCAGCACCTCCCACAAATGCAGGCAAATTGCCTTAATACTTGTGTTAGGTGCTTAAGATAGTACAGTGTGAAATACCATGAATAAGCGTAGGATGATAAAAGGAGCAAGTCGGTTGTGGTGTGCCGAAACCGACGATGAGGTAGGCCTGAGAAAGAAGAGGGCAAAAATTAAGTAATCCAATTTATTAACAGACAACCAATACATATGCATTTATCAACCAGACATGTTTATGAAAGCATCTCTTAACTCTTGTACTGGGTTCGGTATGTACCGTGAGTAAGCGGATGACTTCCAGCGCCCCAGTGTTTTGATAACATGAGTTGGGACGTTGAAACTGGAGGCTGTGGACGCGGCTCCTATACGAAAGGAGTGTCCTGAGTAATTGTTTGCGTTGAGGCCCAGTTGTGTGAGCAAGGACCTGACGTAGGTCATGAAGGTTGTAGTGGTGAGTACTGCACCTTGTAGTTGTAATAACGGTTGCGAGGGCAGTAAGTGATGGTGCTGTATGTAGGCATCAAGAACTTTTACGGGACACCATCTGTTGTGCGTGGGGTAGTACGGAATGTTTACAGGTATGTGCTGGCTGGTTTTGGAGTGAGGTAAAGACAGGATGTAATGATCCATATGTTTTGTCAAGTGGGAATAGAGGAGGAATGGAGTGGTTTGGGTCGTGGAGGTCGTAGTGAATTCTCTGGGTCGTAGAAATCCATAGAAAGCGATGTATATTGCTGTTTTGATGATAGAATTCGTATTAGTGTCAAACGGTTTCAGGTCGAGTAGGTTAGATAAAGCTTTGAAGATATGGTTATCTATGGGTAGCCTCTGGGCCAAATGTGTGGGTTCTGATTTTTGAATACCTCTGAGTATGGTCTTAATTTGGTGAGAGGCCATGAAACTGTTGTTATTTGGGTGTAAGATGAGCATGTGGTGTTGAATGCCAGTGAGATAGAGTTTGATGGTGTTATATGACAATTTGAGTTTAAGGTGGCAAAAGGAAGCAAACCCCAAAAAAGATGTCATAACAAACGGTTGTATGATGTTATGTTCCAGAAGGAATCGTTTGAATAGTGTGAAAGCCCTGTTGTATGTTTTGTTTGTATTGTGTGAAAGTGCCAACTGAGACAATGTCCTGCTATGCTGCATGATGACGTCTAGTCCAGTATGAGTTGTTGAAATGTTGGAGTGATGGTGGCTGTGGGTGCTGCTGACGGGAGTGCTTGATGAAACTCCTGAAATTTAAAGCGAGACAAACTGTCAGCAGCTGTGTTGTATACACCTGGCACATGGAAACAACATAGGAAGAAATTATGACAAGCTGCCAACCAAGTGAGTTTCCTCAGAAATCTCATAATCGTAAGAGATTTGGAACGACCTTTGTTGATGATGTGACAGGTAGCCTGGTTGTCTGAGTAACAACGCACTGGCGTATTAGCCCATAAATGACCCCACGCTACATCAGCCGCCACTATGGGGTAGATCTCAAAAAGAGCTGAGGTAGTGGAAAAACCTTCCAAATCCAGAACTGCTGAAGGCCAGCTGCCCCAAAGCCATTCGTTCCCAAAAATTGCTGCAAAACCAGTGGTAGATGCCGCATCTGACCAAATGGTAGGAGATGATTCAGTCAATTGAGGGAGGAACATACTTTTACCATTCCAAGTGGTTAAAAACCTCTTCCACATGTTTAGATCTGCCGTAGCTTGGGCATCTAAGGACAACCTGTGCGTGTCATGTAGAAAAAGTGGAGAAAAGATGCAATAGTCGTGAAATAAAGGAGCGGCCTTGAGGTATGATGCGCATTGCAAAATTTAGTGACCCCAGCAGGGACTGTAGTTCTTTGCGGTTGCAAGTGCCGAGCTGTAGGTAGTTGTTTATGTAAGTGAGAATATTGTCTATCTTTTCGTAAGGTAGGCTTGCTTGCATTGTGGCAGAGTCTAACTGGATACCCAGAAAAGTGATAACCGTGTCTGGCCCTTCTGTTTTCTTTGGGGAGATGGGTACACCTAGTTGCTCAAACAGCTTAGTGGTAGCTTTGAGGCTAGTGGGAGGTGCAGTATTCTCCTCGACCAGTAGGAAATCGTCCAAGTAATGTAATACTGTAGGGCATCCGGCTATGTTCAATAGTAACCAGCATAGTGCTTCGGCAAATGTGTCGAAAATAGCTGGGCTACTTTTGGACCCAAAAGTTAACCGGGAGAAAAAAATAGTAGTTCTCGGACCACTTGATGCCATGCAGGTGCCACAGTGTGGGGTGGATAGGGAGTAATTTGAAGGCGTTAGTAATGTCGGTCTTACTGAGCCAGGCTCCCACCCCTGCTTGTATGATGGCTGTAATGGCGTGATCTATGGTGGTGTATTGCAGAGAGAATTCCTCAGAGGGTATGAGGGAATTAAGACTGGGGTTGGCCGATGAGTGGGGAGCCGATAAGTCAATGATGAGTCTCTGTTTTTGGGAAGATTTCCCTGTGACAATACCAATAGGGTTGGTGCGCCATTCTGTGAATGGGGGAGTTCTAAAAGGCCCCAATACAAAGCCCTCCTCCACTTCTTGGTTTATGAGGGTGTCAACCACTGTGGGGTTGTGTTGGGCGGATTGTAGGTTTGGGCATTCCAGAGTGCCAGCTGGTATGTGTAGGATACCTGTGTGGAAGCCTTCTGTTAAACCAGAAATAAGAAAATCTACCAGGTGTCTAGATGGGTGCTGAGACATCAATGCTGTGAATACTGGCATATTAATGGACGTAAGGTAAGGCTTAGAATACATTTTATTTGGACACATGGTCTTAGCATGTGCCCTAAAACATTTGAACAGACATGCAATAGTCTACATCCACTGTAATTACAAGACCCAACATTGAAATTATTACATATCTGGGACTTGCCCAGAAACTTGATTGGGCGTCCCAATTTGTCTTTGGATAGTTTCCCTGGATCCCCAGAGGAACTAGTTCCTTGTGTGGAGGCATGTCCGTCTGCCGTGTTGGGACAAAAATTAGTAGTATGGGCTGTGGAGGAGCAGTATGCACAAGCTGGTGTTCTTAGACCTGCAAAGTGTCTGCAGAATAAGACGGTATCAATCCTTCCCCAGTTGGATCGTGTACCGTACTGGGAGAAGGCTCCAGCCACTTTTGCAGAAAAAGACCTATGGTAGTCATAGAATGCTGAACCACCATATTTGTTGCCCAGGTCTACCAGCTTGTGCATATAGAGATCAAACTCCTCTCTTCTGTTGGGATAAACCGCACAGACGACATCCCTGTAAATACCAAACGCTAGTACGAATTCAGGGATAGTCAGTTTCCTGTTCAGGCGGGCATCCCTAGATCTGACAATAACAGAAACATCATCATAAGCATATGTCTTATGTTCCACAATGTCCTGGGAGGCAATCAACAGGGAAGCCAGGTTGACGTCTTTACCTTCCAGGATATCCCTTTTGATATGCTCAGGTATCATGTGGGCCGGGCTAACTTCCTGGTCATCCAGGGGGCTGGCTGGAGCGACTAATGGCAAGGCTGGTGTTTGTACCGCAGCCGCGGGTGGCCCTGCTAGAGTGAGGGCCGTGGTGACCGACTCAAGTTTCTCCAGCCTGGAGTTGACCTTGCCCATGGATGCCATGAGTGAGGATAACATGGCATGTATGTCCCCTGGGTTGGACTGGCTAGATCCTTCCCCGGCTTCCATGTTATTGGTTGATGTGCGTAGCAGTTTGAAAAGTTCTGCCTTCCTTGCTGTAGCGGGGTAGGGGATTTGTCGTCTCCTTAATTCCGTGGTTATGCGCGGGATTGTCCAGGATCTAATTGATGCTGGACTAGCTAGCTCTCCTCCTTGTGTGGGAGTGACAGCTCTAGCGGGGTGCTAGGCAGGGAGAAATCCTCTACCCCTTCCTGAGACATACTATAAATAAAACAATAATTAGTATATAGAACCACCAAATTGTACTGGCAGGCTAGCTAGGCCGGATGGCGAAAGTATTATGCTTGTTTGGTGACAGGTGAGGCCCTACTAATTGCCAAGCGGCTTGAGAGGCTCTATCTATGCGTTGGCGCGAGGGGTTATTGAGGCCACTTGACGTAGTGGCAGGAGTTTTAGGCCTCTCGGTGACTGTACGACAGAAAACAGGGGAAGGGAGTGACAGGTGAGGCCCTCTCTTTGCAACATGCGAGGCGGCTAGCTAACGTGTGGCCCGATGGGTGTTTGCCTCCGAAACGTTTGAGGCGGGGTGTTGGCCTCGCGGGACCACTAACTAATGGCGACAGCCAAGATGGGGTAAATACATATTGGGAATCCTGTGTGTGTGAATCTATGTGTTACGTGATAATGGTGTGTAAAGGAAAACATGAAACGTAGGTTATATACATATGTATATGACTGTGTAGGGGACGTATGATTGGTTGGATCAGTACGTGTGATTCAACCCGAGTATGCATGCAAAAGGATTTAAGCCTTATGTGTCATCATCATGACAGAGAAATGAGGCCTGTAATGTAGGCTGAGTAAATTGAAATGAAATGGATAGTTATAAAACTCCTGGCGTGGGAGTTCAATGATCTGTACCAAAATGTAACTGGTTTTATAGAAAGGGACATGGATGAGGTCATGGCCTAATTAACACAGCGTTATGTATGATATGTAGCAGAAAGACCAAAGGCAGGGATACCCCAAAATGATTTAACATGATGTAAAGTGATGTATATCTATATGATATGTATGTATAGCAAAGACGTATCAACCCGAGAATTATTGCTTAAATGAACCTATCCTTGTATATGTTGTATTAATAACCCAGAAATGAGGCTTGTAACATAGGCTGAGTCCATTCGTATAAATGGATAAGTAATGCAGACCCCTGAAAGCGTGGGAGTCAAATGGTATACACAGAGAAGTGGACTTGATTTGTGGACGTAATACAATACTGACAATTTGTTAAAAGTAATCAACAATAATCTATTTAAGCAAGCAATACTTTAACCGAATGTTATATACACATGAAATGGTGAATATAATTCATGAAAGGATTATACGTGAACACACAGAACAGCCGAAAGCAAATGTGAGGGGAACACAGAAGTTAGAATAGTTTAACCGTATGATTTATGCGAACCAAAGCGTGTATGAGTGTATGTAAAATTTGCCGAACGGCAAAACAACCGAATGAACATTCGTTTAAATAACATGAATAGGATATGCGAAATGACTATTGAACGATTTAAAACATGTTCAGCCGAATGACCGTACGAATGAAAAGCCCGCGAATGGCTTGAAACATTCGTGTCATAACCAGGGAAAAGCCGTAAAGCGAGGACCCGTGCTGTACCGTACGCCGTGGGAACCAGTCCTGGCGTGACAGGAAGGTCTGACTTACGGTTTAGGAGTCCCTGGGACGCGATCTACGACGGAGAACGGAGTCAGAAGAAGCTGGACGGGCGGAAAGGCCTGAACAGGATTCCTGGACACAGCTTAACGTGGTGAAACCTCCTGGATACTGAAACCAAGATGGCGTCTGAGAGAACCCAGAAGTGGATCCTCATTCAACGCTGACCTCGAACGGTAAGGAGCCAGGCAAGGGGAGTGCCTTAAGTAGGCTAGGGGTAGAAAACCAGCACCTCCCACAAATGCAGGCAAATTGCCTTAATACATATATACACACACAAACTGCTGTGTGTGCTGTTAGTGTGCTGTGTGAGGGTGCTGTTAGTGTGACGTGTGTGTGAGGGTACTGTTAGTGTGATATGAGGGTGTTTGTGTGTGTGTGTTTGTGACTGTGCTGTTTGTGTGTGAGGGTGTTTGTGTGTGTGTTTGTCCTGTGAGGGTGCTGTTTGTGTGAGTGTCGTGTATTTGTGAGGGTGATGTTTGTGTGTTTGTGAGGGTGCTGTTTGTGTGTGTGTGTTTGTGAGGGTGCTGTTAGTGT